ATGTATGGGTGTTTTACCTACATGTATGTCTGTGTACCTTGTACTTGTATGTAAATGGTACCCATATAAGCCAGAAGAGGGCATCAGAACCTCTGGAACTGGAGTTACAAATGGTAACCATAAGTAGCCAAGACCAGCCAGTGCTCTTAAATGCTGAACCATCTTTCCAATCCTTGCTGTTTTGTTTTCTGAGACAAGGTCTCAATTAGTAGCCAAGGATAGCCTCTAGCTCTCTTTCCTCTTAACCCCTGTCTCCTGAATGCTGGTAGGTATTTGCTACCACATCTAGTGAGCAGAAAGGATTGTAAATCTTCCTGACACATATCTGAGAATGTAGTCAGTGGCAGAACATTTGCTTAGCAAGGAAGAAGCCCTGGGTGTAACCCCTAGTAACACACAGACACACACACAGTTACACACACACACACACACACAGAGAGAGAGAGAGAGAGAGAGAGAGAGAGAGAGAGAGAGAGAGAGAGAAGAGAACCCCACCACCAGAAAGAAATGACTTTGTGTTAGATGACCCAAGCCAGTCACCTGGATATACTCATTACACATTGTGTACAATGTATTGACATGTTTCAAATATCCCATAAACACATAAATTTGCCACATGCCAATTAAGTATATTAATAAAATACAGAGAATAGATTTAAGGAACATCTTTGATTTCCCCTCAGTGCTTACTCCTCCTCCTCAGTTCTGATGACTCAGCTGTCCCTTCCTGCCTTGTTTTGCTCTTTAGGGCTGTCCCCCTCCTTCTGTCTCTTGCCATTTCACTTTGCTTTGCTGAGTGCTTCTATGTTTGGGCCCTTTGTGTGCCTGAGAATGGCCTGACTGGGCGGGTGGTGAATACAGCTAGGCAGCCAAACCCACTCCATCATCCCATTGGCTTCCTGTGGTGGCACAGCCTGGCCTGCCTCATCTCCTTGGGGCCAGGCAGTTTTGCTCTCAGGATGTGGTGCTTGACTTTGTCTCAGTTTTTACCACGTCCACATGAACTTTGGATGGAAGTACCCTGACAAACACAGTTTCTGTGTCATCCCCACTAGCAACCCCACTTCATAGTAACATCTCTGCAAGAGCAGGCTTCCTCCTGCAGTGCAGCACGCACATAAGCATCCTACGACTGATTTTTTATTACGTTTTCATTTCACGCATCATCCAGCCCAGTCTTTGTATAGTCATGACTATAAATCTGTGTTAGAGAGGTAATGTGAGACAAGCATTAAAGACTGGACTCTGGAGTTCATTTCCCTGGTTTCAAGTGCTATCTGCACTGCCCCTGATAGGTGTAAATGGAAAATGAGATCTTTGCTCTCCACACTGAAAGAAAAAAGGAAGAGGACTGAGGGTGTTAGCTCAGTGTTAGAGTGTATGCTAGCATGGTGACATGAGGCCCTGTGTTTAATTCCCAGCCCTAAACATCACACACACACACACACACACACACACACACACACACACACATACATACACACACACAGAAGGGAAGGAGAGGGAGGGAGATAGCGAATTTTCTTCTTCTCCATATCCCTTTTCTCTTAGAATTTCTATGTCTGTCTTTTTCAAATATATATTAAATTTTTAATGGCTAAATAAGCCCCCTCCAGTCTCCATAGTTCAAGAAGGTTTTCTTCAGGGAACTGAGAGCCATTGCTTTGAAATGCAATCATAAAGAAAGATAAGGCCTAATCTCCCACTGTCTGGAAGCACAGAGGCCTAACTCAGCCACCTGACTCCAAATTGCAAAACCTACTTAAGGTAATGGGTTCTATCCACTTAGTCATAACAAGAGTACAATTTCCTTCAGTCTTTGCTGTCCTTTAGAGAACTGTCTGGGATGTGTAGCCTGTTCTCATTTAATGCTTACTCAATAATAAAATTGTCTCACACCCATATTTTTGTGGAAAGGATTTTCTGAATGGCAAGGGGATTTTGTTTATAATTCTATTTCTCTATCTGTGGATTTGGATAAGTCACTTAACCTTCAGAAGATAGCTCAGTGCAGGGGGCATGGTGTGAGTTGGTTTGAGGGTGGTAGAAAACACTAAGACTGCTATCTCTCACTCTCTCTCTCTCTCTCTCTCTCTCTCTCTCTCACACACACACACACACACACACACACACACACACACACACACACGATACTGGAGCTTGTACCTAGGATATTAGGTTATTATAAATGCAAGGCAAATGCTCTGCCACAGAACTATAGCCCCTCCTACCACCCTACCATATATGGATTTGTGTGTGTGTACATATACATATACACATTGGTTTTATAATAGCATCACTGATTGCATTCGGGCAGTGGTTCAGTCCTTTAGTCTTGTTTGGTTAGCTTTAACACTTAAATTTTATTCTACCTTTTTTTCCTCCTGCAAAAACTGCTGACTTTTCTTCAGATACCAAATGAGGAAGATGTCGCCTTTCTCCTGGATTTGCAAACCTCTGTGTTAGGGCAGAGGTCAAGTTCTGATAGCCATTTGTAAACAGTGTCTGGGCAGGGTGCAGTCATGGTGGCACAATCTTTTCTAATCTCAGGCTGAGGTCAAGGCTAGCTTGGACTACATAGTGAGTTCCAGACCAGTCAGGGCTTCATAGTGAGACACTGTCCAAACAAAACAAAACAAAACAACCCAGTGCCTAACACTAAGGAATCATTTGGTCCTCAGTGAACCTGGCCCTGGGGCTCTTACCTTCATAGGACCAGTTGTTGTTGAAGGTCTGTGTTAGGGCCTGCATCTCTTGGAGCAGAACTGAATCTGCCTGGGATGAGATTTCTCCTCCATCCTCCTCTTCCAGAACCTCCTCTTCCTCCTCAGGATCTGGGGAGTTCTGCATCATTTCTTCGATCTCCTCAATCACCTAAGGACAAAGTACAAACTCTGTTCCTTCCTGGAGGAGTGCTCCAGTTCACTCCAGTAGTCGGCGGCATTCCTAATTCGTTCTCCGTCTTCATAAATATTGGATAATAATAAAAATAGACCCACTCAGAGGCTTGCATAGATTCTGTCTTTAATGTAAAGCACTTTCATGCAAACCTCTTCCAAGTGCTCCATTTAGATGAATGCATTATTGGAAATCAGTTACTCTTTCAGGAAACGAAGCAAGGCTGCCTGGAAGTAAACATTTACTTCGGTTTGCTAAGCATTTTGTTTCTAAGTGGGAAAATATTTTATCTGCCCAACTATAACACAAAAGCCAGTCCCTTAATTGTCACACTTCTTGTAACAGGTGGGGGAGGGGAGGAAGGAGAGGAACACACACATTCCCAGAACAATCCCAAATGGGAAGGAATGTCTGTTTCTGCGGAATTCGACTGGACAGGAACTGGAGCTTCCCAGTGAAAAGTCAAAGTAAAGATCAGAAAATGATAAAAGGACAGCCAGTGTCTGGAGAGCAAAAAGTAGATAAGAACCCGAGTCCTGAATGTGAGGGCTGAGTTGCCTACAAGTTGAGGGTCAAGGTAGATGCTACCAAAAGGATGCCACCGAACTACTGAGGGCATCAGCTGTTTGCACATAAAGAGAGTAAACCAAGCTCTCATGAGAAGGTGCATCTTGATGAGTCTGGTGACCACTGCATATTTAACTATCTTAGCCTCTCCTCGGGGCTATGAGGGACTCAACCTGGGAAGCCAGAAGACCGTGATTTGGACATAAGTTTCTTTGTGCTGGGCTGGACTGAAAGGAACAGGGCTTAGGTAGGGTTTCTTCTTTTGAAATAATCTGTTTATATACACAAATGTGTTCCAACTGAACTGAAAACTTAGGACATGGCTAGTCTTTGAACGGTATTTTCTAAAACATGACCACGTAAAACAGCTGCCCTTTAAGGTTTTACGACTGAGAGCAGTTTTCATTGTGCCTGTGATGGTTAACAGTGATAGTCAATTTAAGAGCCTCTAAAGTCATTTGGGAGACAAATTTCTGAGCACATCTGTGAGGAAATTCTAACTAGGTTAAATTAAGGTGGTAAGGCCCACCTTAACTATAGGCACCATTGAGGGAGTGTTGGGAGTCCTGGAGGGGGCAGAAACAGATAATGGCACAAACCTTTAACCCCTATGCTTGGGAGGAAGAGGTAAAAAGATTTCTGAGATCAAGGCTAACTTGTTCTAAAAGATGAGTTCCAGGCCAGCCAAGGCTACAGAGTAAGACCCAGTCTTGAAAATAGAATAGAATAGAATAGAATAGAATAGAATAGAATAGAATAGAATAGAATAGAATAGAATGGAGAAAGTGAAGCTGAGAACCTGCATTTATCTTCCTGCTTCCTGAGTGTGCGTGCCATGTGACCAGCTACCTCAGGTTCCTGCTGCCTGACTGCACTGGCACAGGGTGGACTATACCTTCAAAATACGATCATAATGAACCCTTCCTTCCCTAAGTTCAATTTTGTTAAGTATTTAGTCACATTAATGAAAAAAAAAGGGACTAATGAGAACCTATTATTGAAGTACAATCCCTCCCTTCAAGTCACAATCAAAACTGCTAGCCATGAGAGGTAACTGGTGACAGTGGCTCCACAGTTAAGAGCACTTGCTGTTCTTCTGGAGGTCTTGGGTCCAGTTCCCACCTGGTAGCTCACACCCACTTGTAACTCTACTTTCAGGGGACCTAACACCCTCTTCTGGCCTCTCCTGTTACCACACATCAACATGTATAGAGACCTTCACATAAAGACATAAAGTAAAAATAAATATATTTTTAAAAAGACTTTCAGCCTTGCTGGGTATGTTGAGATTAAGGCCAGCCTGGTCTACATAACAAGTTTCAGGCCAGCCAAAACAAAACAAAACAAACAAAAACGCAAAACACTCTTAGCCCCATTCCTTTATTTTGCTTTGTTTTGCTGTTTGGGAGACTGGGTCTCATGCAACAAGGCTGGCCAGGAACTCCTGACCCTTCTACACCTCCAAAACACTGGGTTACAAGCATAGATACCTATTCTTGACATGATTTCCTTCAATCTCCTATTCTTTACCTATATTAAATCCTACTTTAAAAAAAAAGAAAAGAAAAGAAAAGAAAGAAATTAAAAGAAAAAACTGTGCCGTAAGCCCAAAGAAGCACCTCTACTAAAATGCACTTTCTGGTTCTGCTGGTTTCCAGTGGAATCTTTTCAGAAGCGCTTCTGAAAGCTTGCGTGGTGGCCAGCTCCAAGAAGTACTAACAGACATTTCAAGAAGCACTAACAGACATTTGTTGACTGAGAAGTGGCTAAGGAGACTCAACACTTCTGCCAAAGAGAGAAATCACCACGGCTACAACACAACGAATCAGTCTCCAAGGTGAAGCATGGCATTTCCCCCCCCACAAAGACAGAAGTGTCTCTGCGACTCCTTTCAGAAGGCTAAATACTTTCAGAGTTCTATAAAATGTGACAAGACATCCAACACACAGACATCTGTCTATCACCGCTTCTTAAACAACAACAATAGCAACAAAAAGGAATATTTAAGATCAACACACGTGCGCGCGCGCGCACACACACACACACACCCAAGCTCCATATATATAAAAAAAATTATGGAAAGCTAAGCATGGTGTCACATGCCTTTAACCCCAGCATTTGGAAGGCAGAGGCAAAGGGAATCTCTGAGTTTGAAGCCAGCCTGGTCTACAGAGCAAATTCAAGGACAGTCAGGGCAGCCAGAGAAACTGTCTTGAAAAAGAAAACTTTTTAAATTTAAATTAAAAAGAAACAGATCCATACAGGCTTCACAGGATGTAAAGCCAGGAAACTCTAAACATGTCTCTGGCTATTGTCGCCAACTGCGACAACCAACCCACGTATTAGGGATAACGTCCACATCTACTGTAAGCAGTTAAACTGAGGCATAAGGAGAAAGAAATTAAACTTCTTATTAAAGACACTGAACTCATCAACAAGGGACCTCCAGTCTGCACATCTTTCTTCTGACCTGGATGCCCTCGGCAACCGTTTCTCTAGAAGAGTAAAATGTTCTCGGATCCTGGGAGCGAGTGTTACTCATACCTGGTCAGCTGTGAGGAGAGGCTCCTCATTGATGCCAGAGTCGTTTTCACTTTTCTCATTGAATTCTTCTTCTTCCTTCTCATGGATCTGTAGGTGAAGGGGGAAGGGACATTGGACCCATCAGCAGGACTAGATCAGACGACAGTGACTTCAGGGCCAAGTTAGCCCCCCTCTGTCTAAAGAGGGAGTGTGGAAAGGAATTCGAGTTTCACCCTGTTCCAGATCTGCCCCTATGGCACAGCAGGCATTGCTGGCAAGGCCAGAAGACAGACAATAGAGTGAAAGCGGGCAGCACCATTCTGACTCAAGGGGATCGGCAGTGTTCTTCAACTTGCAGGCAGGTTCTCCTTGGATGATCCAAAAACCTTCTCACAGTGAATGGCCCTATAGCCAGCTCATGTAGAAGATACAGTTCCTTAAGTAGTGTCTATTGATCAGGGGGAAGGGGGTGTCCAGATTTTATCATAGAGAGCATGTTAAGAAGTAGATTGTTGGGCTGGAGAGATGGCTCAGTGGTTAAGAGCACTGACTGTACTTCCAGAGGTCCTGAGTTCAAATCCCAGCAACCACATGGTGGCTCACAACCATCTGTAATGAGATCTGATGCCCTCTTCTGGTGTATCTGAAGACAGCTACAATGTATTCATATATAACAAATAAATAAATCTTTTAAAAAAAAAGAAGTAGATTGTTTCAGTTAACATAGTCACAGCTTTTACCTTATCATAATGGGTGCTGAAGAGATAGCTCAGCAGGTAAGAGCACTGGCTGTTCTTCCAGAGGACCTGGGTTCAATTCCCAGCACTCACATGTCAGCTTACAAACTATCTGTCACTACATGATCTGACACCTTCACAGACATACATACATGTGGGCAAAACACCAATACATGTAAAATAAAAATAAATAAAAAATTAAAGTTCTTTAACAAAAAATAAATGCCATCCAATAGGAATCCAGCTGCAGTTTCATAGCAGATACAGAATGCGAGGAATCGACATGGGTTATATCACATGGGCTAAAGGACAAAGTGAACCCCAGGCATGGTGATCCAAGCCTGTGATTGCAGCACTTAGGAGGTAGACCCAGGGTGATCAGGAATTTAAGATAGCCCTCCTACTATCCCTACCCAGCAGCTTCAAGTCCAGCCTGGGCTACAAGATCTACTATTTCAAACAAAGCAACAACAGAAAAAGCCAGATGCACCAGATGATTGCCTGTAATCCCAGCTTCTCAAAGGCAGAGGCAGGAGAATAGTGGCAGGTCCAAGGCTAGCCCAGATTATAGAGTAAGACCTTGTCAAGAAAAGAAAGGAAGGAGAAAAAGAAGGGAGGGACAGAGGAGGAAAGAAGGAAGGAGGCAGGGAGGGGAGAGAAAGGAAAGGAAAGAAAAGAAAAAAAAGAGGGCAAACTAAAGCCTAAGAAAAGCTCTGAAGGGGAACTCTGTTCAGCTTCTTTGTCCTGTGCCAACCTAAATTCTATAATCGTCAGGAAGAGTCTAGAAGTTCACAACCATCGAGACTCCAGAAGATGTCTAAGGTCAACAAGATATTTGTAACAATTCTTGTGGGTCTCACGTGGTGGAACACAGGGATGCTTTCCACACGGCAGGTCCCAATAACACGAGAAAATCTGGAGTTCCAAGAGATTTATTGTTCATGGTGTGTGATAGATGGTCGAGATGTGCACCCTCTGTTTAAGCCAGGGCGGGCGTGACTTAAATAAGGAGGGGGAAAAAGAGGAGGGCCACTTAATTTAGCTATGCCCTCAACCCTCCCACCCTCCACTCCCCTACCCCCGCCGTTTAGGTAACTCATGAATACGGAAATCTCTTGAGGCTGAAGCCTGTAGGTGGATGGTGACACAAACCTCTCTGGGAGGACCTGCTTAGCCAAACGTGACTGCAAGGCAAAGGTTAAATGGAGATCTAGACCATGTGTAGGAGCCCGGATTCTGGGGGCGTGGCCGAACACCTGCCGTTTCTCCATTGGAGTCAGGGTTCAAGACCCATGCCCAGCCAAGAACCAAGATATCCTTCCACTACCCGACAAATTCTGACTTTTCTGGCCATATCGCAAATTGTTCATGGTCGGGAGTTTATGTGTGCATCTTGAGCACGTTCAATCACCTAACCACTTCCAGAGATCCAATTGAAAATCACACAGAGGTTGGCAAGAGGGATCCAGGAAACTCCTCCAGAGAACCACCTCCCTCGTACAATCCACCTTTTCTTGGTCCCTAAGAGCTAACCTGATGATTTCTCTGTCCTCCGCAGACACAGTTCTTCCTATTCTAACAGGAGATTCCAGATGACATGTAGTGTGGTCTCAAAACTTCTTTTGGCAGGTGCCCCCTAGCCATGCACATCCCCTCCTATCTCTGCCTAAAACCAGGACAAATAATAATAATAAAATGAGGAGGAAGAGGAGGAAAAGAAGAGGAAGAGGAAGAGGAAGAGGAAGAGGAAGAGGAGGAGGAAGAGGAGGAGGAGGAGGAGGAGCAGCAGCAGCAGCAGCAAGTGTATCTTGAACACCATCTGTTCTCAACCTGGAGAAAGGGCATGGCAGGGAGGTGAGGGGACCACCAGAGGAGCTGTCGGGCAGATGGCAGCATCTATTTCTGCGCTGGAATCCATATGCTTGTATCTCAGCCAATCTGCCACCTGTGGTAGCTGCTTGTTTCCACAGCTCCCCCACCAGGCAGAACAAAACTCCTGGGGCCACACTTTGTTCACAGCTGCAGCCACAAGGCAGAACTTCCCAAGAGTCAGGCAGTCCCGGGTAGAAGGCTGGCTCTTATTGGGAAATGGAGGATTTTCTTTTCTTTTCTGTCGGAATTACTTTTATAAGCCTCTGATAGCAATGTTTGCCCGAAATTCAAATTCGGATATGATAGGTTGAGATAAAGTTCTGAAAATGCAATTCGTGGCTAGATATAGTGGTATTTACTTGTAATTCCAGTATTCAAGAGGTTAAGGGAGGCTAGCCTGAGCTACACAGTGAGATCCTCTCTCAAAATAAAAGCAAATGAACAAATAACAGGTTATGGATATAGCTCAGTGAGAAAGCCCTGGATTCCATCCCCACAATAAAACGATGACCTAGGACTGTAGTTCAGTGGAAGAACACATGCCTAGCAAGTGCAAATGGATCCTGAGCGCTGAAAAACAACAGCAAAAGACCAAATGTGACGGTACCTGCCTGTAATCCCAACACAAGGAGGGCAGACGATCAGGAGTTCAAAGTCATTCTCTACCATTTCTATCGACGCAGGGAGTTCAAGGCCTGAGCCACCGGAGAACAAATACACGAAAAGCGAGTGCTTCCATTTTCTGAAACATGGTCACTTTCATTGCACTTACTTCATTAATTCAGCATCGCAACTTTGACCCAGATCATCTCCCTCTGCAAGTTTCTCCCACGCGGGGGCGGGGCTTGTAGGAGAGGGAGGCTCCTAGTGGTTATTCCACAGTTAATGGATCCCAACTATGGCCCCGAGTGAGCCACACCTACTATGTGCCTCTCTCAGGCACAAAGCTTAAGAGTCCGGGCTTAAATTGTTAGAATTAGGTAAAGAGATCTATCTGAAGGTCAATTACAGGCTCATGAAAGCATCGTCCCTGTGGCGGGTACTATAAGCATTGCTATTCTTGGCTCTCAGAAATCCACCACAGAAAAAATAAAACAAAGGGCTCAGCGCACACAATGCACCCCAAGAGAGCCCTAGCTCCTCCCTCGTGTAGCTGCTATCTCTGCTCAATCTCTCAGTTTTCACCACATCCACCCGGACTGTCTCGGGCCTTCTTCATCTCTGACTTTTGCTCTAACTCTCTGTCCTGCCTCACCCCGACCTGGTTCCATCAAGCCTGTATTGTTTTCTCAATCCTCCAGAGTCTGCTTTGCCTGACAGCTCTGACTGACACTTCTGAACAAACCCTTTCCTTTCACATTGACTGTCTACAGACTCCAGGCCTCCCCTCTCAAACCAAGGTAGTATTTTGAGCAAAAAGCTTAACTGAACAAGGGGGGGGGGATTTTGAAAAACAACAGCACGTGAATACAACAGCATCTGGACGCTCTTATTTCTGTCCTGTGACACAGACATCAAAGTCACTTCCCTGGCTACTTGTGTGGCGATGACAAAGCTACCTGCTCAAAATTATCCACAGCTTGTTCCTTGGTGTCTGTTTCTTTGTGGACTAAACCTGACAATTCTTTCCTTGCTGTCAAAGTGAATGAGGTTCTTATAAAGAAAAAACCATCCACCCAAGGGCCTTCTTCCTAGAATTAAGAAGACATGACTCCGGGGTGGGAACTGACCACAGCAGCTTTTCTTCTTCCTGCTTTGAGGAAAAGGTGTGCACCAGGACTGACACCCAGCAATATAAAGCTGGAAAGTAATGCCAAGCCTGTAACACTTAAACCTTGTGTCTGTGAGAGTCTATGGAAGGCTTCAGAGACTGTTGAGTCCTTTTCTCTAATTGGGTACTTTGGGATTGGAGCCAGGCAGATTGGGAGTTCAAAACTAGCCCGGGCGCCAAGAGAATGTGGCCCAAACATTTTCCCCTCTTACTATAAATAAATAAATACTATACATGCATCCGAAAAACAGATCAGGTCTCTTCAAGGCTTTCGGAGCAAGCAGCATTGGATCCGCCCCTCCCACCACAGCAAAGACACATCTGGATAGAATCTATGAGGCAATTGTTTCCAGGAACTAGATGCAGGCAGCGTAAGGCTTTGGACTGGAAAGAAATGAGGAAAAACCAGATCCACTGAAAAGTATAAGAATACCAGAAGTGGTAAAAGTATCGAGAATTTTATTTGTTTGCTTTTAGAGGTTTTTATTTGATTGGTTGGTTTCGTTGCTATTCTGAGTTCAGGTCTATACATCCTGGAACTCGCTATGCTAGCCAAACTGGCCTTGACCTCGCTGCTTTCTCTTGCCTTCACCTCCTGAGTGCTGAGTTTTCAGTGCTAGAATGATCACCCCGAGACAAAAAATCAAATGATCTTTTTTTCTTCTTCTTTCAGAAAAATCATTTTGTGTTGTGGAGTACAAGATATAAATAAAAATGAAATGCACAATAACAGCACAAGACTGGAGGGAATAGATAAACTTTCAAGCTTCGGATTTTATCTGAAGAGGCAAAATTTTTCTTCTAAATAGACTATAAGTAACTGAAAATGTACAATGTGATCTCTGGGGAAAATGCTCTATAAAAATACCAAGAGCATGATAGCACAGGCTTGTAATTCCAGAGACCTGAAGAAAATTTAAAGTCTAAAGATAGCTTCAGCAAATTAGTGAGTTTCCCCTAGTCCCTTCTCAATAAAACAAAACAAAATCCCAACACTTGACCTGGAGGCAGATGGATCTCTGTTGAGTTAAAGGCCAGTCTAATCTATATAGCAATTTCTACCACAGCCAAAGCTACATAGTGAGACGTTGTCTTAAAAACAAATGAACAAAAAAAGTAAAGGGTTCTAGATAAAATTCCATTTCAAGAACAAACTGGAATGCCAAAGAAAAGTGAAAAAAGAAATTTAAAAAGCTGGGGTGTGGTGGCACACACCTTAAGTCCCAGCACTCGGGAGGCAGAGGCAGGTAGATCTCTGTGAATTCAAACCTGGTCTACAAAGCAAGTTCCAAGACAGCCAGGCCTGTTATGCAGAGAAACCTTGACTCAGGGCTGGGGGGGGGGGGTGCAGGGAAGAAGGGGAAGAAAGAAAGCTGCAGGGGGACTGAGAAATGGTTCCACAATTAAGAGCACTGGCTGCTCTTCCAGAGGGCCCAGGTTTGATTCCCAGTAGCCACATGGTTGCTCACAATCACCTGTAACTTCAGTTCTAGAGGATCCAATACCTTCTGCTGGCCTCCTTGGGCACCAAGCATGTAAAGTGTGTTCAAACATACATCTAGGCATCCATATATACAAAATAAAAGAAAGAAAGAAAGAAAGAAAGAAAGAAAGAAAGAAAGAAAGAAAGAAAGAAAGAAAGAGGGAGGGAGGGAGGGAGAGAGAGAACTGGAGAGAGAGAGAGAACTGGAGAGATATCTCAGTGTGTAAGAACACTAGCTCCTCTTTCAGAGGATCCAGGTTCAATTCCAGATACCCACATGGCAACTAACAGACATCTGCCAATTCCAGTTCCAGGGGATCTGATACTTTCTTCTGGCCTCTGCAGGCACTAGGCACTTAATTAGGACACAGACAAACATGCAAGCAAAACAGCCAAACAAATAAAATACAAATAAATAACTTTTTAAAAATTAAAAAGAAACTAAGAAAATAAGTCAACTAAGGAAAAAAAATCAGAACTTTAAAGGACAAAGGAACCAAAAGTGTCCCCTGAAAAGACTGATAGAAATGATAAACCCATGTTGTGCACATCCCACCACAAAACACAAAATAAGTAAGTACATTTAAAACTCAATTTTAAGCCAGGCACTTGGGAGGCAGAGGCAGGTGGATTTCTGAGTTCAAGGCCAGCCTGGTCTACAGAGTGAGTTCCGGGACAGCCAGGGCTATACAGAGAAACCCTGTATCGGAAAAAACAAAAACAAAAACAAAACTCAATTTTAAAAGAAGATTATAGGGCTGGAGAGGTGACTCAGCAGTTAAGAGCACTGTCTGCTCTTCCAGAGGTCTTGAGTTCAATTCCCAGCAACCACATGGTGGCTCACAACCATCTGTAATGGGATCTGATGCCCTCTTCTGGTGTGTCTGAAGAAAGCAATGGTGTACTCATATACATAAGATAAATAAATAATTTTTTTTAAAAAAAAAGAAGATTATAGACAAATTCGTAAATTCCTTGAATAAGTGACTTATGATTCAGCGGTCTGGGGAGATAGCTCAAAGGGTAATACGGTTTACTGCAAAAGGATGAGGACCTGAGTTCAAATCCCCAGCATCCATGTAAAAAGCTGGGCATGGTGTGTTCATCTGTAATCTCAGTGACTACAGATGGGAAATGAAGACAGGGTCCATCTATCCATCCAGTCTAGCTGAATCATGGCTCCAAGTCCAGTACAAGACCTTGGCTCAAAAATTAATATGGAGGTCAACAGAAGAAGATACCTCGAATGGGCCTCTACCCTCTGCACACACACACACACGCACGTGCACGCACATGCACATACATACACACACACACACACACACACACACACACACACACACACTAACCTACAAGTCCAGGCCAAGGTCGTTTTGTTGCAGTAGCCTATTGAACACTTAAGGAGGAAGCAACACCAATCCAACATCCTCTCTTCTGTTTTAGGTAACTTAACTATGAGATACTGGGCCGGGCGGTGGTGGCGCACGCCTTTAATCCCAGCACTTGGGAGGCAGAGGCAGGCAGATTTCTGAGTTCGAGGCCAGCCTGGTCTACAGAGTGAGTTCCAGGACAGCCAGAGCTACACAGAGAAACCCTGTCTCGAAAAACCAAAAAAATAAAATAAAATAAAATAAAATGAAATAAAATAAACCTATGAGATACTATATACATAAATGTGCATCAAGAGAAAATGCACAGTCAGGGGTTCAAAGAGGACTTGAGACCCAGGCTCTGGTGTCACTGTTGAATGGGCTTGCAGTAAACCATAGCCTCAAAGTCACTGTCTTGCACGGCAATGACGCCTGGAGGTCCTGAGTATTCTGAATTGTACATGATTAGAAGTCCTTAAAGTGGTAGGTAGTCAGTTTTCCAACAAGTCAGCCAAATGCAGGTCCCTTTGCTGCGCTATTTTGAGCAGTAATCTGCAGACAGAGCACCCAATCAGAGACATCTGCTTCCTGCTCTTCTACTCAGGACAAATTCTTGAGCTCTCCAGAAGATGTGATCCACCGCTATATATCAGCTGCCTAAAAAAAAATCATCATTTGCTGACTCCCCAGACTGGTGCCAGCATTTCCTGTATACAGAATTGTCAAATGTTCTTCATGGGTGAAACTAGAGAGTGAAACAGGTAGAAATTGTCTTTTAACATGAACAAACCATTGAATGATTTAACTGTTTACTATAAGAATACCTCTTGACCAGTGAGTAGCCATTTCACCTGGATAGTAGCTCAGCGTTTGTATTTGTCTCCCCCTGTCCACCACCCCTCAATTTTTGCTGAACCTTTGACCTCCAAACTGACAAAGGAGGCAGCACCTTTGGTGAGGTGATTAGGTATTGCAGGTAGAGCACTCATGAATGGTAATTAATTCCTTATAAAATAAGTTCAAGGGACATCATTTGAACACATGTGTGGACCTCAAAGAAAGTGCCACTTGTGAACGGATATTACGCCCTCCCCAGAGTGAATCTGACAACAATTTGATCTTAGACTTCCAGTCTTAAGAACTATGGAAAATAAATGCCCATTGCGTATAAGTCACTCAACAATAAATACTCTTCTCTGCTGACTAAAATACCACTCATCGTACATATATAGTAAGCCCATGAGGAGCAATCTGGATCTTGTGAGACACTATACAGTCAACTCTAAAGAAGTATCCAGCCCTCTTTTTTTAAAAAAAACTTTCCTTTTTTTTAAGTGTGTGCATTCCTGTGTGTGTGTGTGTGTGTGTGTGTGTGTGTGTGTGTATGAATCTACATGAGTGAAAGCCATTTGTATGAGGGTGCCCACAGAGGCAAAAGAGGGTATCAGATCCCTTGTAGCTGGAGTTACAGGCAAGTGTAAGCCATCTGATATGGGTGTGAGGAATTGACCTTGGTCCTCTGCAAGGTCATCAAGTGCTCTTAATCACTGAGCCATCTCTATAGCCCTGTTGAAGTTCTAAGGAACCCTCAGTACCAGAAAAAGAAAAAAAAAGAAAGAAAGAAAGAAAGAAAGAAAAGAAAAGAAAACAAAGCAATACCGTCCTAACCACTGTGTAGCCATTTTACCTGAACCTTTGCTTTAACTGTCAAGCTTCAAAGGTTCACCAAGTGCTTTCTCAAAGCATTGCCTCTGATGGCTCTATGGGAAATAAATTCATTATTTCCCATAAATTCATTTTAGACAGCAAAACCTGATTCTTAAAAAAACGAGTTTGTTTGTATGTCTGATGAAACTGGAGTCTCATTCTGAGTCCAGGCTTGATCAAACATGTGGCAATCCCCTTCCCTCGGAGCCTGGAGTGCTGTGATTACAGGTGTGCCACCAGTATACCTGGTTACCTGATTTAAAAAAAATTATTTGACGAGAATAAGTGACCTGTGATGGTCACTCTTCTCCAACTTACTCTGCAGGTCATAACACACAGAACAGCAGTAGAAGACATCTTGGGGGCTGGGAGTGTAGTCACTGGCTTTGTGTCTAACATGTGCAAGGTCCTGGTTTCCAGCCTCAGTACCACAAAGAAGGAACAAGTGAAAAAAAGAGAAGCCTGGGGAAGTGAGTATCCGTCCTTACTCTTTTGATGCAGAACCATCCCAATTACCTCAGACACACTGGGTATCCTTCCAACCTTACATTTTATCTTCCTCAACAGTCCCATGTCAGAGACACTGGCTCTGGTGATGCTTGTTCCCGACAATACCTCTGAACTGTTGCTTTAGAAGGCTATTGAGTTGTTGGACCTTTTTCTTGCTGGATTCCATATCTTCCCAATCCTGACTAAATAGGGGGCCCCAGAGAGGTACCTCAGTGTCAGAGCTGTTGCCATTCAGAGCTTCAATGTTTGGGTCCCTCCAGTCTTCTGAGAGTGAAGGGATGTAATTGTCTGTCAGAGCATCCCAAACCCTGTAAACAAAGGAAAGCTCTCATTAGCACACATCTGCCGCTAGACCCCGCCTGGAGAAAGGAAGAGCTGGGCCAGGCAAGAGAGAGGCTGCTGTGTGTGTGCCAGGCTGAGGTCATCTGCCTTCCAGCATGAGGGAGCAGCAGCTGAGGCAGAATTAGAGGCATGCCCAGAGGAGAAAGCCATGGGCATGAGGCCCTCACAAGAGGCTTCAGAGAAAAGGGTGGTTGGTTGTGCTTAGAAATTAATCTGCACCCCAACCATACATTTTATTTCTGAGCCTCAGAAATATCCCTGTTCCTTTCCATAGTCTGAGAAACTCAAAGGGTAGAGGAAGGGATTGAAAGAAACCCTAGCTGAGTCTCATTAAGATTAGATGACACATTTCAACTTCAGAGGCCTGTAATCTTCCTATCAGGAATCAGCCCCTTGGTATCTAACGTAGGCAGAAAGGATAACGCCAATATTGTAATTGCTCACTCCTTTCTCAAAATGCTCTAGGGAACACACAGTGACACAACCCTGCCTTCTTATGTAGAACTTAAAGGTACAGTGTTACCATTATGGATACCAAGGCAAACGTAAAAAAGCAAAACAAAACCAACCAACCAACCAAACAAACAAACAAAACAGGAAAAAAAAAAAAAGCCCAGCATGGTGACACGTCTAACCCCAGCAGCGCTCAGAGGCAGAGATAAGTGGATCTCTGTGAGTCTGAAGCTTAGTCTGCTCTACATACTAAGTTCTGGGGCAGGTGGGAAGGGATGAGTTAAAAAAAAATTCTGAAGTCACAACATATCAGGAAGATGAGTGAAATAGTAGGTACCTAAGCACAGACGCTGGAATCAAATAAGGTAACTGTCATAAAATCAGGAATAGTATAAGGTATCTGGACATTTTTTAAAAAAGAGAGATTTTTCCTGGAAAATTTTTTATTTTTAAATATTTTCCAAAAACTTTATATATATATATATATATATATATTTGATATTTTTCTCCACACAAGAAAAGCACTTTGAGCCGGGCAGTGGTGGCGCATGCCTTTAATCCCAGCACTTGGGAGGCAGAGGTAGGCAGATTTCTGAGTTCGAGAGTTCGAGGCTAGCCTGGTCTACAGAGTGAGTTCCAGGACAGCCAGGCCTCCACAGAGAAACCCTGTCTCGAAAAACCAAAAAAAAAAAAAAAAAAGAAAGAAAAGCACTTTGAGAAAACAAAGTCATCAAGTGTCCATGTGATAACTACTCAGCGGGATTTCAGAGCCTGTTTCCTGTGTGTATATGGGAGGATTCACCGTGCGTGCGTGCGTGCGTGCGTGCGTGCGTGCGTGCGTGCGTGCGTGCGTGCGTGCATGCGTGCCAAAGACAATTCTGGCTATCTTCTATGGCTCTTTATCACATTTTTGAGACCAAAGTCTCTTGCTGAATCGACCCTTTTGGCTAAGCTTGCGGGCTTCTGAGTCCCCATGACCCACCTGCCTCTGCCCCTTCAACACTAAGGTTCCAGACGAACCCTCCCAGTGCACCCAGCTTTGTAAGGGGGTGCTGAGGTATCCAAACTCAGCTCCTCATGCCTGTGCTGCAAGCACTTCATCCACTAAGCCGTCTCCCCCACCCCGGAGCCTGCGTCTTAAACCGTGGATGGTATTCCAATTCCTGCCGGGCACTAATAAAGCTGTATAAATAATTCAAGTCCCACTGGCCTTGTGGAACTGAGAAGAAAATATGACTTGCTAACTCAAAGAAAATGCTCCAACTGCCACACCCACTGGGAAGGTCGTGGGCCTGCGCTTGCATCAGTGTGTTACATTAGTGCTTTGGGAGTGCACGCTCCTTCAGCTGTGTCCATACAGGAAATGCTGGAGAAGTGAGATTCAGCAAAGTCCAAAATAAGCTATGTCTTTTTTTTTTTCCTGAAGGAAAACTGGAATCTTAAGGGACTGCATACTTTCTCTTGGCCTTGAGACTGTGTAAGTCCTGAAAGTGACAGTAGAATCATTTAAACTATTTTTTCCTGAAGTGAGCCAGGCATTTGGGAAAGGATGCTGTTCCCCAGTGGAGTGGATTGTACAAAGGCATGTATACACGTTGCAAATCTGAAACTATACATCTATACACCTATACACCTATACAACTATACACCTATACATCTTGACTAACAATATGAAACTCAGCTCAAAGGGCTAATGTAATTTTAAGTTAGTAATAAATCCCATAATTGTCTTCAGTCAGCCACTTTCCAGGTCCAATAATACAAAGCTCACATTTACATATGTTAATATGAATATATATTTGTAGTTCATACCTTTCCACAACACTTTTGATTCTCTCAAATACGTAACTAGAATAAACACTATCTCTCCCTTGTACTTCTAAGAACCTTGAACCTCTAAGAAAATAACTGAATTTTCTTCTTTCTTTCTTTCTTTCTTTCTTTCTTTCTTTCTTTCTTTCTTTCTCTTTCTTCCTTCCTTCCTTCCTTCCTTTCCTTCCTTCTCTCTCTCTCTTTCTCTCTCTCTCTCTCTCTTTCTTCTTCTTCTTCTTCTTTTTTTTTTGAGATGGAGTTTCTCAGCATAGCCCTAGCTGTCCTGAAACTTGCTTTGTAGACCAGGTGGGCTTCCAACTCACAGAGATCTACCTGTCTCTGCCTCCCAAGTGCTGGGATTAAAAGTGGTGGGCTGGGTGGCACCACCACCCAACTAGAAAACTAGAAAACATTTACTTATCTTCCATTTAAAGTATATCTAGTGATGGTTTATTTATTAGGTAGACTTTGACTTTAACATTGTCTTTAGCTCATAATGTCTATCAGAAGAATGGGAAATGACCATTGCTCCCAAATGTTTAGACTTCTGCAGAGTATAGCAAGGGTTAAGAACAACCCCAGTGAGACAGGAGGTGTATGAGAGTTACCCACTCCTGTTTTTAGTTTGCTTTGGTTTAGTTTTCCACTCCCAGTTTGTAGTAGCTTTTAAAAGTTTCTAAAGTCCAGGCCCATCTTTTATAACAAGGGAAAGGAGTGGCCTCGTGTACACTTCTTTCTGGCCCAGTGGGGATGGTGTAAACCCAGTACTCAGGTGGCTGAGGCAGGAGAATCCAGGCCAATCTGGTCTATGTAGCAAGATCCTGTTTCAATACCTAAAAGGGTAAGGGGATGAAGAGAGGAAGAAGGTAGCAAATGAGGGAGAGGGGGAAAGGGAAAGAATGAGAGGGAGGAGGAGGAGAGATGATTATCAAACATTTTCTGAACTCAAAACCAGAAAGATAGATAGATAGATAGATAGACAGACAGATAGACAGACAGATGGAATATATACTATTTAAATCTGGCTTTTAAAAATCATGTTTAAAGACAGTGTCTCTTACAAACAAGACTGTCTTAGAACTGATTATGTAGCCCAAAGTTACATTTAACTTGCCATCCCCTTGCCTCTTCCTCTAAAGAGCGGCCATTACGGCATGTGTCTAGGCAGCTGTCCTTTAGTATCAGAATTTCCATGCTTCGAACCAGAGATCAGTCAATTCCCTATTGGCCAAATAGGTCCAAACCACAGAGATGAAGACTTGCAGGCCATTACTGCATTTCCTCTGTGGTTTGTGATTTCTTAAAAGAGTCTCATTTAGCCAAGAATCCCTTTGTTTTATTTTGGGCTTCGACTTTTTAATCTCTAATTCCACTCAAAACACTTCCAACTTCTTTATGGATGAGAATCCCTCCAAATGCTGAACCCGAAGAGGTGATCCCTGTAACCCTAGGGGAGCCTTACAACCAGGTTAGACTTTGAGTCATCCTTTTCCTCTGCTTAGTCATAATTCCACAGCTGAATGATCTGGATACTGTCTGCAAAACAAAGTATGCAACGTGATTCTCGTTTTTAATCTTGAGTTTCACAGGGGTCCTAGATGCACCAAACGCTTAGAAGGTGCAGTGTCAATTTCTCTCTTCCTCTCCTTCTGGTGCCTGCATCTTCCTCTCCCTCTAGCTCAGCAATTATCCAACCCCAGTCTCTTAGATGAGGCATCAGTGAGGCTGTCAAGGCAGAAAAAAATGCCTGTGGAGAAGCCCAATAATCCCACTTGATGGTAATTAACGTGGAGCAGCCTCTGCTAACACACCAGGAGGGAATAAGAAGCTGCACACGGGCTCTCACCTCTCATAGGCAGAGGCAGAGTTCTGTTGCAAAGAGATGATGAGTTGAAAGCAATACAATAGAAACTGGGCTTGTTTTTAAATGCCATTTTCAGAACTCATCCTGGGTGAGGAAAGAAATCAGGCCCTCTGTAAGCCCTTAGCCCTGCGTCGTCAAGAACGAGCCCTAGAGGTTCCAACAATGAACATCCATGCAGTCCACTAGAGTTAAGTGACTTGACCAAGGTCACACAGAGAGTATCCGAATTAGAGTTCTTAGTCTCTCAGTTTCTAGTTAGTTTCCTGGTGCTTTAAAAAGAAAAGAGCATGCCCTATCTAGTAAAGTCCAACAGCCTTCCTCCTCCTTACTTACAGAAGTTCAGCAAACTATAACTGGCCCAGCATTTTGAAAGAACCAGTTAGCCGGGCGGTGGTGGCTCACGCCTTTAATCCCAGCACTTGGGAGGCAGAGGTAGGCAGATTTCTGAGTTCGAGAGTTCGAGGCTAGCCTGGTCTACAGAGTGAGTTCCAGGACAGCCAGGGCTACACAGAGAAACCCTGTCTCGAAAAAACCAAAAAAAAAAAAAAAAAAAAAAAAAGAACCAGTTAGAAACATTAAAACTGAATTGAAACACACAACCTACCATTACGGCTCTGGTCACCGGAGTGAAAAGCATGATTACAAACCCAGGTTAGCATTAATTAAAGGGAGAAGAGCGGCCTAGAAAGACAATGCATGGACCTACAAAGTTACCTCTTGTTACTCGAGCAGCTCAGTCAGTAGTATCTATTTCATTTAAAAACATGACCAGATAGATCACTTACTACACACTAAGACCTGTGGGATTGGGGGCGAGTATATAACAGTGAACAAGACAGACCATGCATAGCTCCTGTCTTTTCAGAGGGGCAGCCCTATCTCTTTTCAAGTCATCAAGCAAGCCTTTCCGCATCAGGATCCTCTAGAATGTACTTCTTGCCCAATTAGTGGGCGTGGTTCTCTCTATTCTATTCAAGTCCACAAACAAAAAGGGGGACCTGGGAAGTAGATCAGAGGTAGCATAGCTGTCTAGCCTGTGCAAAGCCCTAGTTTGGACACTTGCATAGGAAGGAGGAATGGAGCACAGTTGGTCCTAATAAACATTTTTTGGTGTGAATTCTAAAGAAGAATTAATACACATTTTACCTGTACAGGAATTCATGCATTTTCTTGTAAATCTCTAAAACAGATTAAATACTTTTCTTTTCTTTCTTTTTTTTCTTTCTTTTTTTTGAGAACAAGATCTCATGTATTCCAGTTGGTCTTAAACAGGGCGTATGTAGCTGAGGATAACCGTGAACTTCTGACCCTCCTGCATCTACCTCCCAAGTGCTGTGAACCTCACAGCCATGAACCACAATAGCACTATACTAACAGAGCCTAAGGCACTCTTCTCTGTGTCACAACTGCTTCTTGACCTAGCCTCTCCTCACATAATGCTTCCCTCTGATTCTTTTCCTTCACAGCTGTTAAGGCCCTGGGAGACTGCTAATAAGCAATATGGGAAATATGCTCCAACACTCAAAAAAAAAAACACACCCCCTAGTTTCAACTTCCTTTTTTCCAGGTCTCTCAGTTTCGCTTGTGAACTTCCAGGTCTGGGAGTTATAAACAATTTTGAGACTTGTAATTCTGTAATTTGGGTGTTTCTTGAGGCAAAATTGTCCAGTTTGTGGTTAGCCCATCACAGTTAATTAATTCTCTTCCTGTCCTTGTTTTTAATATCTGGGAAGGTTACCAAAGAGAAGAAAGAGAGACTGCAGGATGATTGAGTGACTAAAAGCAACTCTCACCAACTCTGGTGACCCAAGTTCGATCCCTGGGACCTATATGGTAGAAGGAAACAGTTGTCCTCTAACCTCCAGGCATGCATGATGACCTGTGTGTGTGGATATGTATATGTGTATGTATGTGTATGTGTATATGTATGTATATGTATGTGTATGTGTATATATGTATATATGTATATATATGTACGTGTATGTGTATATATGTGTATATGTGCATATGTATACATACATACATATACAAATATATATAAACATAAAAAATGTAAAAAGAAAGAGAGGGGTTGGAGAGATGGCTTAGCAGTCAAAAGAACTAGCTGATCTTCAGAAGAACCTGGTTGGATTCCCAGCGTTCACCTGGCAGCCCACAACTATCTATAACTCCAATTTCAAGGGAACCCCCCACAGTCTATTCTAGCCACTATGGGCACAAAGCACATATGTGATACAGATATTTAGATGTGGACAAAACACCCATACACACAAAATAAAATTAAAAATAAATAAATAAATCTTTCAGAAAAGAAAAAAGAGAGAGGTGACGGGGGAGAGGGAAAGAGAGGAAGCTAGATCCCCACATTTTCTTGTTCTTAAAATTCTAAATCCTTCATTCTTCTAAAGTTCCAATCCAAGAAAGCTTTCTGCAGCTGACTACAGAGGGACATCTAGAGATAATGTCAGCTGTCACCGAGGTACTGCCTCTGCCTCACCGGTAACACAAGGACATTAGTCCAGTCCAGGTAAACTCGTAGACGGAAGCTAGCTCTAGGCCAAGAAGGCCGTCTATGGATTCGGTCTGGCTCAGGAGAGGGTAGCTAACGCTTCTTACTCCTCATCCCGAAGAGTCTCCTCTTCCTCCTGGATCTGGAACTGGTTCTTCACTGGAGCCAGGTTCTCCGTCTTGGTGTTGTAGTTCCGAAAGCAGACATTGAGCTTCTCGTCAAATTCATTCACGAGGTCCTCCATGGACTTGAAGCTGATGATTTCGGAAGAAAAATTCTCAAGCTCGGAGAGGGAAGGGTCCTCCAGATGGTGAGGAGACGTGCCATAGAGAGACTGTGGCTTTTCCTCTGGGTCCTCGGTGCAACAGGGCCTGATGTCTTCAAACTCTTCATCCAGACTCACCAGTGGGGCCTCCATCCTAGCACCGCAGGACAATGACGGCAACTGTCAAGATCTGTTTCCCTGGAAGAAAGACACAGGGCGGTGTGAGTTTGGCCCGGGCTTTTGTGCCAGTTCTGCGGAGGAACTGGATCACATCTTCCATTACTCTATGTCCCTTGGAAAACAAAGACTCCTTCTCTCCCGTGCAAAAACCTAGATTTTAAAAAATGCTTCTGAAAGCAGAAGGGGAACTGTTTGACTGGAGGAAAGGGACCTGTGGGAGAGTGACTGGGGCCATGGAAAGGTAAAGGAGGGTCAGCATGATCAAAGCACATGATATAAATTATGAAAAGATCATAAGGAAGCACAGTTATCATTTTGTACAATTAATATATATATATGCTAATAAAACATGTCTAACAAAGCAAGAGACATATTCTGGGACTGGAGAGATGGCTCAGAAGGTCACCAGAGCTCAGAACCTCAGCACCCACATAAAGTTGGGGTATAGCAGTGTATGTCTAACCCCTGTGCTTTAGGCTGGTGATTAGCAGATGACTCACAGGCCAGGCAATCTAGCTGGTGGATTCCCTTGAGTACCATCAGCCATGTGGCCTTGTATAAGTGTATTTCTTATCTATACTATATCTTTGCTTTGAACCAAGTTTCCTCGTTTATTTCTTGGGGGTGGGGGAACAAAACAGTAACGTGGAGAAGCAACTGAGGAAGCCCTGTGGCCATCAACCTCTGTCCTCCAAATGTACCCACAGTGGTAAACATGCCTACATACACACATGCACACAAGGGTATCCCACGTACACACACGTCACCACCACCATCACCATCAGCAGCAGCAACAACAGCAGGTTATTCTTTACTGAAGTAGCTATGGCTTCTGAAGTTGCTTACTACAATGCACGCAAGTAGTTCAAATATCACTGCATAGTTTTATAAGAAGAGCGACGGAACAGAGTGAACTCTGGGGCTGCCCAGAAAGCACAGTGAGGAAGTGCTGCAGCTCCCAAGCTGGGGCACCCAGGTTCGAATTCTTCTATCCCTATCAGCTACGACCTGACCATAAGCAAACTAACTTCTCCTTTTTCAAGCCAGTGAAAACAACAGGATCTATCTCAGAGGGTTGTTATAAGATTATAGGAGTAAACACAGCTCAAAAACGTGCCTGGGGAATGATTAATGCCAATGTTATTCAACAGATTCCCTTTTTATTACTCACAGGTCCCCGCTCCTAACCATGGGCTCCAAAAGTCTAAGGTGGCCGGGCGGTGGTGGCGCACGCCTTTAATCCCAGCACTTGGGAGACAGAGTCAGGCGGATTTCTGAGTTTGAGGCCAGCCTGGTGTACAGAGTGAGTTCCAGGTCAGCCAGGGCTACACAGAGAAACCCTGTCTTGAAAAATCAAAAAAAAAAAAAAAAAGTCTAGGGTGGTGGTGAGTACTGTTGTTGTTGTTATTGTTGTTGTTGTCCCCCTTCCTCTTCCTCCTCCCCTCCTCTTCCTCCTCCTCCTCTTCTTCCTACTCTTCCTCATGCCCTCATCATCATCATCATCCCCTCCTCCTCCCCTCCTCTTCCCGCTCCTCCCCTCCTTCCCCTTTTTCTGTACTGGGACTACAGCTTGTGCTATTATGCTACCAGACAGTAGTTTAGACATTGTTTGTTTTTCACAACTCCTTGTATCAAGACCCAACTTGACCTAACCTTATTTGACAATGAAACCTAACATGCATAGAAAGCTACTCACAGTCTCAGTGTGTCCCATCAAGAGTGTTTTGCTGAAGAAATATTAATTCTTTAAATCAGACGGAAATGAAAGTGTGGCTTAGTGCCAGAACACAAGGTTAGAAGACGTGAGGCCCTAGGTTCCATCCTTAACGCCAAAAAGAAAAAAAGAAAAGAAAAAGAAAGGAGAGAAAGAAAGAGAGCCCTTTACCTCAAAGCACAGTAGATCACATGCAGAATATACAGTTACTCCCGTCAAAAACTGGAATTACTCTAAATTCTGAAACAGGCCTGGCCTATGCTATAGGTAACAGAGTGGTTCCTGAGGTGCAGCAGACAAGATTATGGTGAATAAATAACACTGAATATCCCAGGGATGCAGAAGTTAGTATATCATCGTGCATACAAAAGCTTATAGTATTCTTTTGTGAGATTCTCTAAAAATGCCAGGGAAAGGAGAGAGGCTCTACTTGAGGAAAGGGATCTAGACATTATTCTCCTCATTAATAAATCCTAGAAATGCATAAAACACCAACAGACACTCTGCAGCCCAACACAGTGGTGCTTGAACCCAAAGGAGTCACAGCTGCTCAAGATACAGGATGTCTTGAACCCAAACTTGGGGCTAGCCTGTGATCTGCTATCTTCTAAGAAATAAAGGCCGGGGGTTATGGATCAATGGGAAAGCACTTACCTAATATGTGGAGATCTCTACTACCATCCACCCACTATTAAAAATCTACACAAAATATAGCTAAGCTTTTGGTCAGGAATGGTGAATCACACCACATATAGTGTTTGGGAATCTGAGGTAGGAATCCTGTCTCAATTTCCAGGCCAGTCTGAGTTAGAGTAGTTCTAGAGCAACCTGGAAAATAGGAGTGAGATATATCCTGTTTCAAGAGGCAAGGAGGTGGTGGGGGCAGAGGGCTAAACCCACATGCTCCAAAGGCCGATACATATTCATCTAGGATATTGGATGCTGGCTACACACTTAGGCATCCTTCTAAACCCTAACAGGTCTGTGACTCCTACCCACTCATCCAGCCCTTTTCATAATTGTCTTCAACTATGATTTCTGCTTCACCTCCCATCTCTAGGGCCCTTCCCAATTTTAGTATAAATTCCTTGAAGGCACAGATGTCCTCTGGATATCCTCCATGTCTCTAGCACACTGACTGCCCTGTGGCCAGACAACCGATCAATGAGTGCTCATTGAGAAATGATCTTCTGCCCCATATACAGTTTCCAACAGCATCTCCGTCTGTCACCTGCCTATACTTGCCCAACTTCCTTCCTGGTAAGTAGAAAGTAGCCCAACTTTTCTGGTCTGTATGATTCCTGATCAGATGTGTAAACTGGACCCATAGCCAACAGATATCAAAAGTCATGGGGTTTATCTAGTGAGTCCTCACTCTCCACTTCTACATACAAAAATTAAACTCTAAGCAAGGCAGAGGCCATGCTAGATGAGAAATGGCCCTTACTGGGATTTTACTGAAATGAAGGCAGTTACCATGGCATCAAAATACACTCTGAGCATTTAAAGTTTACAAAAGCTAATATAGGATAATTATATGAAGGCTCTATCAGCCAGGAATGGTGCAGCATGTCTAGATCCCCAACACTCAGGGGGCACAAACAAATACTCCCTGACTGGTTTATGTAGTGAGTTCCAGGCTAGCCAGGACTACATAGTAAGACTACATCTCAGAGAAACAAAAACAAAAAGCAGGAGCAAAAAGACAGAAGGAAAGAACAACAACAAATACTGGAAAAAAAAAAATAACCCCAAAACAGATAGAGCAATGTCGGAGTGTGATTCAGTGGTAGAGGCCCTGGTTTCCATCCTTTCCTGGGTATTTTACTGTCAATTTGAGAGTAATATGGGCGAGGGAGCTCAAAAGTGAGTAATTTTGTTTCCATAAGATTTGCTTCTAGGCTGGGCGGTGGTGGCACACGCCTTTGATCCCAGCACTCGGGAGGAGGCAGAGGCAGGCGGATTTCTGAGTCTGAGTCCAGCCTGGTCTACAAAGTGAGTTCCAGGACAGCCAGGGCTACACAGAGAAACCCTGTCTCGAAAAACAAAACAAAACAGATTTGCTTCTAGGCAAGTTTACAGCATATTTTTTTAATTAGTGATTGATGGTGATTGATGTGGGAGGGCCCAGCCCATTATGGTCCACGCCACCCACCACCTCGGGCACGTGGAGGTCAGATAAACAAGTAGGCTGATCAACGTGACTAGCAGGCCAGTAAGCAATGTTCCTACCCGGCCTCTGCTGCAGTCCCTGCCTCCAGGCTCCTGCCTGAGTTCCTGCCCTAACTTCTTTGATGGTGGATTGTGATGAGGAATTATAAACAAAAATAAACACTTCCCTCTCAAATTGCCCCTAGTCACTGTGTTTCATCACAGCAATAGGAACCCTAACTCAGACCATCTTCAACACGGGAAGAGGGGATGCTGCCAAGACTCGTAAGTGCAGTGGCTGGCTGAGTGGCATGTATCCCAGGTCTGATTTCCTTATGAATTACTATAAAAATACTGGCATAGAGCAACATGAGCTTTAGGAGCTCACTTTAATAGCTTTACAGTCTTAATTATAGAAACATATGTACTTAATCCAATATATCCAAAGTATGACCATATTAATACATAATTCATATTAAAATACAGAGCCCCCTTTTTTTATACTAAGTCATTTTATAGTTACAGTCTTTCTTTGGACTAGCCTCTTTGCATGTACTCATCAGCCATTCATGCCTAGTGGCTCACAAAGAGATTTCATAATACACACACACAAACACACACACACACACTTGAAAGGAAAGGAAAGGAAAGGAAAGGAAAGGAAAGGAAAGGAAAGGAA